TTTTTTTTTGAGACGGGATCTTGCTGTTGCCAGGTTGCAGTGCAGCAGTGGCATCTCAACTCACTGCTATTTCCACCTCCTGAGTTCAAGTATTCTTCTGGCTCAGCCGCCTGAGTAGCTTGGATTATAGGCGCATGCCACCCACACCCAGCTAAATTTGTATTTTTAGTAGAGACGGCCATATGGCCAGGCTTAGTCTCAAACTCCTGACTTCGTGATCCACCTACCTTGGTCTCCCAACAGTGCTAGGATTACAGACATGAGCCACGCTGCCTGACCCCTTGTCTCCTTTTTATGGCGAATAATATTTTCTTTTTTTTTTTTTTGAGACAGAGTCTCGCTCTTCACCCAGGCTGGAGTGCAGGGCCGGATCTCAGCTCACTGGCAAGCTCCGCCTCCCATGGGTTTATGCCATTCTCCTGCCTCAGCCTCCCGACTAGCTGGGACTACAGGCGCCCACACCTCGCCTGGCCAGTTTTTTTTATTTTTTTGTTAGAGAGGGGTTTCACCGTGTTACCAGGATAGTCTCGATCTCCTGACCTCGTGAGCCCCCCGTCTCAGCCTCCAAAGTTGCTGGGATTACAGGCTTGAGCCACGCGTGCCTGGCCCTGAAATATTTTAAGGCAGCAATACATGAGGGTACAGTGTGTATACCAATTTGGTTTATCCATTTCATAGCTGTGATGAACATTTGGGCTGTTTCTACTTCTGCCTTTATGAATAATGCTGGATAGGAATATTCATTGTATTTATCAGTCTCTTACATCAAACGTATGTTTCTAATTCTCTTGGGTAGGTACATAGGCCAGGATGGGTGGTGGCTATGGTAATTCTATATTTTAAATCTTTTAGATTGGACAAAAGACATATTTCCAAAGTGGCTATAGCATTTTACATTTCCGGTAAGCAATTTATGAGGTTTTCAATGTCCATATCCTTGTCAACATTTGTTATTGTCTTTTTAAAGAGACAGGTTCTCGTTACATTTGCCAGGCTGGCCTTGAATTCCTGGGTTTAAATGACCACCATACCTTCAACTCTCCTTGGTAGCCAGGACCATAAGCAAAAGCCAGCACCTGACTCTAATCATTTTTAAGTGTACATTCAGTGGTATTAAGTTATATTTATATTGTTGTGCAACATAACTACCATCCACTTCCAGAACTCTTTTTCATCTTGCAACTGAAACTCTGCACCTATTAAACACTCCCCATTAGGCCCCTCCTCCAGCCTCTGGAGGCACCATTGAATGCTAGATATTCTCATTCTAATGTGAAATCATTGTTTTTTGTGACTGGCTTATTTTCACTTAGCATAATGTCCTCAACATTCCCTATGTTTGTCTTTTTGTTTTTTTTTTTAAAAAAAAAAAAAGAGGCCAGGCATGGTGGCTCACGCCTGTAATCCCAGCACTTTGGGAGGCCGAGGCAGGTGGATCACCTTAGGTTGGCAGTTCGAGAGCAGCCTAACCATGGAGAAACCCCGTCTCTACTTAAAATACAAAATTAGGCCGGGCACAGTGGCTCACACCTGTCATCCCAGGACTTTGGGAGGTTGAGGCAGGTAGAACACGAGGTCAGGAGTTCGAGACCAGCCTGGCTAACATAGTGAAACCCTGTCTCTACTAAAAACACTAAAATTAGTTGGGCATGGTGGCACGTGCCTGTAATCCCAGCTACTTTGGAGGTTGAGGCAGGTGAGTCACTTGAACCCGAAAGGCAGAGGTTGCGGTGAGCCGAGACTGTGCCACTGCACTCCAGGTTGGGCAACAGAGCCAGACTCCATCTCAAAAAAAATAATAATACAAAATACTAGCTGGACATGGTGGCGCATACCTGTAATTCCAGCTACTTGGGAGGCTGAGGCAGGAGAATCACTTGAACCCGGGAAGTGGAGGTTATGGTGAGCCAAGATCATGCCATTGCACTCCAGCCTGAGCAACAAGAGCTAAACTCCATCTCAAAAAAAAAAAAGAAAGGGCAGCTTTGCCCGATAAAGTAACCATAAGCTTCTAAACATAACTCATTCAACTCACTCCATTTTGTTCTGTGAAATACAAGGTGTTTCTTATTCTGAAGTTATTTGTAACCCTTGCTACTGTTTCAAAACTTGTTTTCCTCATCCCCTTTTCTGTAGCTCCGTGAAGCTATGGCTGCCTTAAGAAAGTCAGCTCAAGATGTTCAGAAGTTCATGGATGCTGTCAACAAGAAGAGCAGTTCCCAGGATCTGCATAAAGGTTAGGGTCAAGAAATACCTGGGTACAGATGGGAGGTGAATTCTTACAGAGATTTCATCTTAAGTCTCATGTCTGCTAATTGTGACATGCCAGACTCATTATCCTTAGTAGTTATGAAATCCCAATTACATGGATGGTGATTTTCCAGTCTGTGATGGTTTTATCTCAATACCTCTTTAGCGTCCTACATTTAGACCGTTTCCATCCTCATGACTACTTCCAGATGGAGATTAGGGAGAAGAGAATCACTCAGACTCTTGTTAAAAAAAGGTTTGAGGCCAGGTGTGGTGGCTCACATCTATAATTCCAGCAGCTTTGGGAGGCTGAGGCAGGAGGATCACTTGAGGCCCGGCATTAAAGACCAGCCTCGGCATCATAGTGAAACCCCATCTGTAAAAAAAAAATGTTTAAAAATTCTCCAGATGGGCCAGGCACAGTGGGCTCATGCCTGTAATCCGAGCACTTTGGGAGACCAAGGCAGGCGGATCATGAGGTCAAAAGATAGAGACCATTCTGGCTAACGTGGTGAAACCCCATCTCTACTAAAAATACAGAAATTAGCTGGACATGGTGGTGCGTGCCTGTAGTCCCAGCTCCTCGGGAGGCTAAGGCAGGAGAATTGCTGGAATCTGGGAGGCAGAGGTTCCAATGAGCCAAGATCGCACCACTGCACTCCCCCCGGGGCCAAAGAGGGAACCCTCTTTCAAAAAAAAAAAAAATTACCCCACTTTCCCTAATTACCATACTACCCTCTTTACCTTCCTGTTCTCTACCCAATCTATGTCATAACTCTTTAGAATAACTTTGCTTCTTCTATAGGAACCTTGAGTCAGATGTCTGGAGAACTAAGCAAAGATGGTGACCTGATAGTCAGCATGCGAATTCTGGGCAAGAAAAGAACTAAGACATGGCACAAAGGCACCCTTATTGCCATCCAGACAGTTGGTATGTGCAGACTTGGAGGAACCACTCCTGAAAGGCAACCTGCACCCTCCACTGCTGATTGTTTCTTTTCTCCATAACCTTCCCATTTGTCTCTCACGTAGCAGCCTGGATTTATACAGAAACTGGCAGTTTTTAAAAAAATTTATCTTTCCCTTTTACTCAGGGCCGGGGAAGAAATACAAGGTGAAATTTGACAACAAAGGAAAGAGTCTACTGTCGGGGAACCATATTGCCTATGATTACCACCCTCCTGCTGACAAGCTGTTTGTGGGCAGTCGGGTGGTCGCCAAATACAAAGATGGGAATCAGGTCTGGCTCTATGCTGGCATTGTAGCTGAGACACCAAACGTCAAAAACAAGCTCAGGTACCTGGACAGAGGACTGTAAAGGGGTAGAGGCTGGGAGCACAGCACCTGCCCTGTTCGTGCCATAGACCAGATCTCACAATTAGCTTTTGTCTTCTTAGTCCTTAGTGGACTGAAACCCTTACTCTTTCTTTACCACAGGAGTCATGTGGGTGATTCTTTCTTCCTCTTTCTCCTTCTTTTTTGTTTTTTTCCTTTTCTTTCCTCAAAGAGAAAACTAGGAAGAGAATAACGAGGATTAATGATCAGGGGAATAGGGGATTCACACAGAAGAAAGAGATGGAGACTAAATGGTTATTAGCAGCATAGGAATCTGAGAGAGGAAAAAGAATATATGTTCTTTGGCTGGGCCCAATGTCTCATGCCTGTAATCCTAGCCCTTTGGGAGGCCAAGGCAAGTGAATCACTTGAGGTCAGGAGTTCGAGACCAGCTTGCCCAACTGGTGAAACCCTGTCTCTACTAAAAATACAAAAATTAGCTGGGTGTGGTGGCGCATGGCTGTAATCCCAGCTACTTGGGAGACTGAGGCAGGAGAATCGCATGAACCTGGGAGGCAGTGGTTGCCATGAGCCAAGATTGCACCACTGCACCCCAGCCTGGGCGACAGAAGGAGACTCCGTCTCAAAAATACTTAAATGTATATGTTTTTTGAGAAAGTAGGGAGGCATTGGTTAAATTAAGGGAGAACTCCTAACTCTCAAGTTGGGAAGAAAGAAAAACAGGAAGAAAGTAGTAGACTGGAATGTCTTCCCTGGAGTGCATCCTGTTGTGATCCAGAGAAGTAGAAGCTATGATAAATAATTTCTGCGGGTCATGTTAAATATCATAACCCCCAGATCTTTCTACTGTCACTCTTCTTTTACAGGTTTCTCATTTTCTTTGATGATGGCTATGCTTCCTATGTCACACAGTCTGAACTGTATCCCATTTGCCGGCCACGTGAGTGTTTCTCCCTTATTCCTTAGCTCAGTTTTTCCTCCTCTACCTGATATGTCTTCTTAGGACGTCCAGTTGAAAAGCCCTAGGTGTTTTTGGTACTTCAGTCTCAAAGAGCATAAATTTGGTTGATGTCCTTTGCTCCCAAAGGACAGTTTGCACCCAAAAGAGATACAGTTGTATTGTTCATCTCTAGGACTGGGTCTTTGTAGCCAAAGAGTGAGTCACTAGAAGATCATGAATGACCTTGAGTAGACTGCTCATGTTATAGATGTGCTTCAGTTTCATTTCTAAGTGAGTTAGGTTGAAAAAGGTGTTACTTCTTTCCTAGTGTCATGCTGCACCTAACGTTTGTATAAATGTAGTCTGCATAATGCTTTCCACAGAAGCTGTGTTAGATGGAACATCACAGTGTCCTCTATATTTGTTACCCTGGCTTGGGAGCAGACTTCTATGGAAATAATCATTTTTAACTGCAGAAGAATCAACTAACACTTCTGTTTACACATAACATGACAGTAAACATATTCTGAGTCTCTTAAAAACCTGATAGAGAATGAGAAGGAAGGACTAATTTTTTCATTTCATGGTGCCACCTGATCTTTTTAAATTTACCATTAGACTTATCAACAAGTGAGCAAGAATTTCCACTTGAATTTTCCAAAGGAGAAGCATCCATTTGTATAAAATAAGTGAATCACCTATATTGTACATGACTTATTTAGTATTTACTTGATTTGTAAGTATGTGCAATTTGTACATTAGGTTTATTACTTAGGTGGTCTTGGCTTTGCTTCCCTCGAGGTTCTGATTTTACTTTTTCTTTCCTTTTCAACTTAAAAAGTATAAAATGTCTCCTGGCCAACCCTTTTCCCTATCAAGACATGTCCTACCTGCCCTCTCAGTTCTACTTCTTCCTTGAAACAGTGAAAAAGACTTGGGAGGACATAGAAGACATCTCCTGCCGTGACTTCATAGAGGAGTATGTAACTGCCTACCCCAACCGCCCCATGGTACTGCTCAAGAGTGGCCAGCTTATCAAGACTGAGTGGGAAGGCACATGGTGGAAGTCCCGAGTTGAGGAGGTGGATGGCAGCCTAGTCAGGATCCTCTTCCTGGTACTGTTTTTCCCTAGAATTTTGGAGGCAGAAGTTGGTTCGGGGGGACTTAAGAAGCAGTAATGAGGATGGTTTTATAGCTATTCCATAGCCTTCCTCTTTCTTATCCTCCTATGTGTTCTCACTGTTTTTGGTCAAATTTTACTTTGCCCTTTTTGTTGTTCCTCTGTGGGTCATTGTTGAAAATAAATTACCGGAATTATGATACTAATCTGCATGGTTTTGATTTATTTATTTTTTTCTTTAGGAGTATTCACATTGTGTGTAGGTACAGAGAAGGCAGCCATTTCCATTTTTCCAGGGTTAAGGTTTTAGTAGGATAGTGGGACGAAGAAGAGGTATCAAGGAGTCCTGATTATCTTTCAAAGTTCATTTAAACTCTTAAATATTTTGTACTCATCCTTTTCTCCCTTCTCTCTCCCTTCTTAGAATCGTATTTCTTATTTTTAAAAGTTTTAAAAACTTTTTTTTCTTTTTTTTTTGGAGACGGGGTCTCGCTCTTTCGCCCAGGCTGGAGTGCAGTGGCACGATCTCGGCTCACTGCAAGCTCTGCCTACCGGGTTCATGCCATTCTCCTGCCTCAGCCTCCTGAGTAGCTGGGACTACAGGCACCTGCCACCATGCCCGGCCAATTTTTTGTATTTTCAGTAGAGACGAGGTTTCACTGTGTTAGCCAGGATGGTCTCGATCTCCTGACCTCGTGATCTGCCCGCCTCAGCCTCCCAAAATGCTGGGATTACAGGCATGAGCCACCGTGCCTGGCCCTTAAAAACATTTTTTAATACTGCTACTTGCCTTGCAGAACAGGGCTACCCAATAGACTGTGTGCCCAGAGTAGCCAGAAGAAATTAGAAATTATATTTCTTCTTGGTGTTACCTCAGCCCGTTACTCCTAAGGCGTTATGATCCTTATCATGCTTTTTGTTTGGTGTTTTGTTTTGTTTTGTTTTGTTTTGTTTTATTTGTTTTTTAGATGGAGTTTCACTCTTGTTGCCTAGGCTGGAGTGCAGTGGCACGATCTCGGCTCACTGCATCCTTCCGCCTCCTGAGTTAAAGTGATTCTCCTGCCTCAGCCTCTAGAGTAGCTGGGATTGGCTAATTTTTTGTATTTTTAGTAGAGACGGGGTTTCACCATGTTGGCAGGCTGGTCCCGAACTCCTGACCTCAAGTGATCCACCTGCCTCGTCCTCCCAAAGTGCTGGGATTACAGGCATGAGCCATCACACCTGACCTGGCCTGTTTTTTATTTTGTTTTGTTTTGTTTTGTTTTGAGATAGAGTCTCACTCTGCCACCCAGGCTGGAGTGCAGTGGTGCAGTCACAGCTCACTGCAGCCTCAACCTCCAGGGTTCAAGTGGTCCTCTCACATCAGCCTCCCGAGTAGCTGTGACTACAAGTGCATGCCACCACACCTGGCTGATTTTTGTATTTTTAGTAGAGACGGGTTTCGCCATGTTGCCCAGACTGGTCTCGAACTCCTGAGCTCAAGCAGTCTGTCTGCCTCATCCTCCCAACGTACCAGGATTATAGGTGTGAGCTATTGTGCCCAGCTGTCACACCTCTTATACTCAGTATAGATACCTGTTGCTCCTGTAATTCCTTAAACAAGGAGTATATATTTTTCATTGTTGTGTACCTGATACCCACCATGGAGCCTGGCACGTACTTTATTAAGTAGATAGAGAATTTTTTGGGGGGTGGGTCGATGGAGTTTCACTCTTGTTGCCCAGGCTGGAGTACAATGGCGCAATCTCAGCTCACCACAGCCTCCACCTCCCTGGTTCAAGCAATTCTGCCTCAGCCTCCCAAGTAGCTGTGATTACAGGCATGTGCCACCACACTCGGCTAATTTTGTATTTTTAGTAGAGACAGGATTTCTCCATGTTGGCCAGGCTGGTCTTGAACTCCTGACCTCAGGTGATCCGCCCGCCTCAGCCTCCCAAAGTGCTGGGACTAAAGGCGTGAGCCACTGCGCCCGACCGCTATTCTTTTATTCCTTTACTTTCTTAATAAACTTGCTTTCACTTTAATAAAAAAAGTATTATCTAAGTCAAAACAACATATGCCAGCATCCATGCCAGTCAATAATAGGAACTGAGAGTCTAAGCACTTACTCAGAATGTGTCCATTGCTTTTTTGGTTTTTTTTGTTTTGTTTTTTTTTTTTGAGACAAATTCTTGTTTTGTTGCCCAGGCTGGAGTGCAGTAATGTGATCTCGCCTCACTGCAACTTCCACCTCCTGGTTTCAAGTGATTGTCATGCACCTCCTGAGCAGCTGGAATTACAGATGTGCACCACTATGCCCATCTAATTTTTGTATTTTTAGTAGAGACAGGGTTTCACCATGTTGGCCAGGCTGGTATCAAACTCATGACCTCAAGCAACCCTCCTGCCTCGACCTCCCAAACTGCTGGGATTACAGGCATGAGCCACCGCGCCCAGCCATTGCTGCCTTTTTATGTTGTATAAGTTAAGGATCAGATGTGTGACTGAATACAAGCATCATAGCTATCATCTTCTCAGTGATCAATTCCTTTTTCCTATAGGTGCTGTGAGGAGCAAAGGCCCTGTTGTCCAGTACACACAGGATCTGACCGGTACTGGAACCCAGTTCAAGCCAGTGGAACCCCCACAGCCTACAGCTCCACCTGCCCCACCTTTCCCACCTGCTCCACCTCTATCTCCCCAAGCAGGTGACAGTGAGTAAGTGTTATTCTTTCTTTTTTCTTCAGTTTCTTTCATACTATATTTTCCACATCCCTTACTATACGCCCTCTTCTCTGATCTCCTAGAAGCTTGGAAAGCCAGCTTGCCCAGTCACGGAAGCAGGTAGCCAAAAAGAGCACATCCTTCCGACCAGGATCTGTGGGCTCTGGTCATTCCTCCCCTACGTCTCCTGCACTCAGTGAAAATGTCTCTGGTGGGAAACCTGGGATCAACCAGACGTATAGGTGAGAAAATCTGAGGCTCTCTGTAGGCAGGATAGCAATGAGTGGTCACTGTGTAGGGGAAGGTTCCTTGGCTCTGAAGGGCTTAGTTTAAGTTTATGATGGTGAGGAGTTTGGACTTGAAAAGGAAGCTTTACCCATAGAAGTTTCTAAGAAATAGAAAGTAAGAATAATTGAATCGGAAGCTGGGTGCTTGGAAATGTGGTATCATCAGAAAGCCATTTGTTAAAACTTCTTGTTGAACATGGTTCCATCATTGCTAAAATAGAAAGGAAACACCACAGCCTCCTTCCTTGAATCCTGGGAGTGAGTAAGGACATTTCTGGAACACACAGCAGACAAAAAATATATTGGTAGAAGACTGGACTCTACTTCCGTAATTCACAGGCAAATACATTTTAGGAAAAGGTACACTGTTGAAATAGAGATGTTAGGCCAGGCGCAGTAGTAGCTCATGCCTGTAATCCCAGCACTTTGGGAGGCCGAGGCGGGCGGATCACCTGAGGTCAGGAGACCAGCCTGGCCAACATGGAGAAACCCTGTCTCTACTAAAAAGTACAAAATTAGCCGGGCGTGGTGGCGCATGCCTGTAATCCCAGCTACTCGGGAGGCTGAAGCAGGAGAATTGCTTGAACCCGGGAGGCGGAGGTTGCGGTGAGCCGAGATCATGCCATTGTACTCCAGCCTGGGCAAAAAGAGCAAACCTCCATCTCAAAAAAAAAAAGAAATAGAGATGTTATCAGTCAGTGAAGAGTAACCAGGGATTTTCGTTGTCCAGCTTTGATAGGGCAAGGGAAGATCTTTCTTGAATCATCTTTAGCTTCAGGAGCACAGCTGCTTGAAAGATGAGAGAAATGGCTTAGCTACCTGGAGGGTTAATTATACAACAGAGGTCCTGTTGCCTTCTGATCTGATCACTTGTATCTCATTTGCAGATCACCTTTAGGCTCCACAGCCTCTGCCCCAGCACCCTCAGCACCCCCAGCCCCTCCAGCACCCCCAGCCTTCCATGGCATGCTGGAGCGGGCCCCAGCAGAGCCCTCCTACCGTGCTCCCATGGAGAAGCTTTTCTACTTACCTCATGTCTGCAGCTATACCTGTCTGTCTCGAGTCAGACCTATGAGGAATGAGCAGTACCGGGGCAAGAACCCTCTGCTGGTTCCATTACTATATGACTTCCGGCGGATGACAGCCCGGCGTCGAGTTAACCGCAAGATGGGCTTTCATGTTATCTATAAGACACCTTGTGGTCTTTGCCTTCGGACAATGCAGGAGATTGAACGCTACCTTTTCGAGACTGGCTGTGACTTCCTCTTCCTGGAGATGTTCTGTTTGGATCCATATGTTCTTGTGGACCGAAAGTTTCAGCCCTATAAGCCTTTTTACTATATTTTGGACATCACCTATGGGAAGGAAGATGTTCCCCTATCCTGTGTCAATGAGATTGACACAACCCCTCCACCCCAGGTGGCCTACAGCAAGGAACGTATCCCGGGCAAGGGTGTTTTCATTAACACAGGCCCTGAATTTCTGGTTGGCTGTGACTGCAAGGATGGGTGTCGGGACAAGTGAGTTGGTGGGGAGAATTGCTGCCCCTGCTTCCAACTTTGTTATGGTTGTCTTCCTTTTCACCTCTTCCTTTCCCTTGTATCTGTACTGCTTTCCCCATCTTCCTTTACCTCCTCCCTCACCTGGAACTCCTGCTATAAGGCCTCCATGAAAGCTATGAGGTAGGGAGACTGGAGTCTGACATGGCCACACTGAGCAACCCTGGGTACATGTGTATTGTGTTATTTTGTTCTCTGATCCCCCCGCTCCTTTCCTTTATTTCTCTCTGTCATATAGGTCCAAGTGTGCCTGCCATCAACTAACTATCCAGGCTACAGCCTGTACCCCAGGAGGCCAAATCAACCCTAACTCTGGCTACCAGTACAAGAGACTAGAAGAGTGTCTACCCACAGGGTAAGTGGTGAAGGAATAGCACAATACCTCAGAGAGACTGAGGAGCATGTTCTTGTTTTTCTCTGCTTATAGAAATCATCAGAAATCTAAAAATTGGAACCAAAAATAGAATACCAGAAGAGGCATTTTATTAATTAGATATTATTTCCTGACTTCTCAAACACTTTTTTTCTTGGGCTTTCCTTGAAATGAAGACATAGGATGATTGAATAGTGTCTAGCAATTTTCTGTTGCAAAAAAAGATTATCTTAATTTCATAGCTAAATGAATGTCTTAACAGATTATGATTTACTCTTGTAAGTGACGTGTTCAGAGAGAAGTAGGCAGGGACTTGATTACATAGGGCTTTATAAACCAGAATGAAAAAAGTTAGAATCAGGCTGATACAGTGGCTCACACCTGTAATCCCAGCACTTTCGGTTGCCGAGGTAGGTGGATCACCTGAGGTCAGGAGTTTGAGACCAGCTTGGCCAACATGGTGAAAGCCTGTCTCTACTAAAAATACAAAAATTAGCCAGGTGTGGTGGCGGGCGCCTGTAGTCCCAGCTACTTGGGAGAGTGAGGCAGGAGAATCGCTTGAACCCAGGAGGCAGAGGTTGCAGTGAGCCGAGATCGTGCCAGTGCACTCCAGCCTGGGTGACAAGAGCGAGACTCTGCCTTAAAAAAAAAAAAAAGAAAGAAAAAAGAAAAGTTAGAATCAAATTCATGGTGCTCTTAGAGAATTTTAAGCAGCCAAGTGATATAACCTACCTTTTTCAGATTACTCTGTCTTCTTTGTAGATCATAGGTCTTAGGATGGCGAAAGTAGATCTTGGAAGACCAATTAGGAGATCATTATAGGAGTATAGCAGAGAAAGACATGGTTGTAGCTATGGCTTGCAATAGAATGGAGGTGACAGTAGAGGTAAGAAGGATAGATTTGGGATGCATTAATAGGTAGATCTACAGAATTGGATAGATTGTGGAGTCGGGGGAAAAAGTAGAAGCAAAGACAATTCCTAAATTTTTGACTTGAGCATGTAAGTGGTTTTTGGTGCTTTTTACTGAGATGGAAGACCAAAGGAGTAATAGGTTTGAGTGAAATTCAGTTTTTGTTTTGGCCATGTTAAGTCCGAAATGCCTGTCAGGCAATCCAAGTAGAAACGTCAAGAAGGCACTGGGATTTCTGGAGAGAAGTGTAAGAGTTGGATATAAAAATTTAGGAATCATCAGCACAGGAATGATATTCAAAGCCTGGATGAGTTCACCTAGACACAACGTTGATAATAGAGAAGGTGGCTCAGGAGTAAACCCTGGGTCCGCCAACATTTAAAGGTTGAGCAGAGGAGGTAGAACCGGCATGAGTTTGAGGACAGCTACTGAGGAGGGCAAGGCCGAAAGATTGCTTGAGGCCTAGAGTTTGAGACCAGACTGGGCAACATAGTAAGACCCTGTGTCTAAAAAAAAAAATTGTTGGGGCCAGGAGTGGTGGCTCACGCCTGTAATCACAGCACTTTGCGAGGCCGAGGCAGGCAGATTGCTTGATGTCAGGAGTTCAAGACCAGCCTGGTCAATATGGTGAAACCCCATCTCTACTAAAAATACAAAAACTAGCCGGGCAATTGAGAGCAAGGAGTCTTGCTGTGTTGCCCAGGATGAGAGTGCAGTGGTGCAATCTCAGCTTACTGTAACCTCTGCGCTTCCAGGTCCAAGTGATCTCCTGCTCAGCCTCCCAAATAGCTGAGATTACAGGCGTGGGGCGTGATCATGCCTGGCTAATTTTGTATTTTTAGTAACCAGATGGGGGTATTCACGCAAGTTGAACACAGTGCGTCTTTGAACTCCTGACCTCAGTGATGCACCCACCCTTGGCCTCTCCAAGTGTTGGGAATTACATGCGTGAGGTCCTGTGCCTGGCCAACCATTTTTTTTTTGAGATGAAACTTTCATCGTCTGTTCTTGTTCCAGAGATGGAGTGCAAGGAAGCGGTCTTGGCTCACTGCAACCTCCTCCCTCACTGGGATTCGAAGTGATTTCCTGTGTCAGCCTCCCAACTACTTTCTGAGAAAACTGGCTAAGAGTCGTTCTGGTTAATCTCCAATTATCAACACAGAACAACGAAAGCATTGGTAAGCCTGTGGATTAATAGGTGGCTTCGCCACATCC